AAAAAAAAAAAAAAAAAAAGAAGAGTTACATCTAGAGGGGAATTTACTAGAGAGAATAAGTTCAAAGCTCCTGAGAGGAGAAGATGCTTTGGTCAGCTTAAGGAGGAGCGAAGTGGGCAGTGTGACTGGGAAGAAATGCACAAGGGAGAGCACAGTGGATGGAGTAAAAGAGGTGACCCGCGGCCAGACAGCGTAAGGCTGGGAGAGCATCTGCTTCTGAGGGAGATGAGTAGACACAGGAGTGTTCGGGAGGGCAGTGACGTGGCCGTGTTGATACTTGAGCCGACTCTGGCTCCTGCATGCAGGATGGACCTGAGTGGAACAAGGCAGATGGGAACAGGAGGCACGTGCTGAACAGAGCTAAGGAGGAAGGCCTGGGGGGGGTGCAGGGCTGAGGGCTCGCGCTTGGGGTACATTTTGACGTGATGCGCTGAGAGGTGGAGATATGGCTCCAAAACGGAGGAAAACATGAAGATGGCTTTCAACGTTTTGATCACGTGCCACTCCAGGTTTAAGACTTGGACAGTTGCAAGCACCTCTCTTCATCCTTGCCCTCAGTCCTCCTGTGTTCCGTGCCCACGAAGACTGTCAGGCGGTCTGTCCTTCCATTCTTGTGCCGACCTGTGTCCGTCCATGTCTTTTTGCCAGGCTGGACTTCATGTGCAGTTTGCTGGTACCACTCCCTGCCGTACGTCTTTACCTGGTCACTCAGTCTCCCTCCTTCGTGCTCCTTGGAAAAACACAGCAAACTCATCCGCTCCGGCCTCTACCTGCTTGGAAGAAAAGAGCGCAGCCGCACTGACGAGCCACGGAGCTCCCAGCGTAGGCCGAGGTCACTGCTGTACAGCTCCAGTTTCTTCCTGCTCTCACCTACTCTGCTCACACTCTCGTTTGTTGGCCTTGCTTCCTATTTCTGTAGGAAATTAAGAGAAAACCCAGCACTGCATCTCCCACCTGCCTGCACCTGTACTGCCAGATGCTCTGCCCCTCCTCTGTTACAGAGATGAACTCCAGCTTCCATCTGTGGCCAGCCTCTGTTCCACATCGGTCTCCCTCACTTTCTCATGAACGTTGTCCTTCATTTATTCGTTCATTCATATTCTCTCTCTTCCTCTCCCTCCCTCCTTCCTTCCCTCCTAGTACTGGAGATTGAATTCAAAAACTTCACTTTGACCTGTATCCCTGGCCCCTTTTAAATCTTCAGTGTGGAGACAAGGTCTTGCTGAGTCTTTTAAGTTGCTCAGGCTGGGCTCAAACTTGGGTCTTCCTGCCTCAGCCTCCCAGAGTGATGGAACTAGAGATGTGCACCACACCTGGTTCCCCTTCTGCAGCTCTTACATTAATCTTTTTTCTTTTTGTAAATATTCCAGATCATTTTGTGAGTATCCCGACACTTCCCGTCTTCACACTTTCCTTTATCCTACCTCTCAGTTTGCCATCCTGTTTCTCTGCTCCTCGTCACCTCTGTTCTTTTTATTCCTCTCTAATTCTCTCCTGAACCTTGCGTAACTGAGCTTCCATGCTTTTCACTCGGTGCAGAGGTGTTTACCGAGTCACCAACCCAGTATCACCAAAAGTCTCAGATCTCTCCTTGTTCTCTAACCGTGTTTGATATGTGTCCCTCCCCCTTGAAATACTTCCTTCACTTGGTTTCTAGAACACAGCAGAGAAGCTCTGCTGATCTTTGTCTTCCCAAATGTTTGGCCGCTCCAAGGCAACACTGTCGTCTTGGTTACTTTTCTCCTTGCTGAGACAACATAGCCAACACCCAAAGTTAAAGGAGGAGAGGTTTATTTTGGCTCACAGTTTGTAGAGGTTTCTGTCCATAGTGGGCTGGCTCCAAGGCGGGATGGCACAGCAGAGGGGCACTGCAGAAGAGAAACAGTGCGTGGCAGGCAAAAGGCAGGAGGGCAGCAAAGTATCAAAGCGGGGAGAAAGGAGCAGCAGCAGCCTGCTCTCCCTTTTCTCTCTACCAACCCTTTGGGTGGTGCCACCCACACCCAGATCTCTGCCGACTGATCAGTGGACTCCTTTAGTAAAACACACCCTTAATCCCAGCATCACACACCCTAGATCCAGCCTCCAAAAAACCCAACTTATGACACGTAAGACTTTAGGGGGGACATCTAAACACAAGCCACAACAACGGTCCTGTCCCCATCTGCATTCCTCTGAGATCTCCTTTGAGAACAAAGCTTTTGAAAACATCTATATGTTGATGACTCCCCAGTTTTTATCTCCAACTTTGATCTGTCCCCTAAGCCCCAGATTGATGTAATGAGCTGCCTGCTCTGTTCCCACTGGGTGGGAAGTGTGAAGTTTAACATATCCCAAGTTAACACCATGATTTCCCATCCCTAGTCTGCTGTTTCCCGTTCTTCCCTCCCTTCAGTATGTGGCAGTCACTCACCTCATTGTTCAGTCATCACCACAGAGAATTTCTCCTCATGAATGAACCAAATTTATTTTCTCTGTCTGTATCTGTAGTCAAGATTTAGTAAGTACCTTACTACATGTAGGACACGCTAACATGTAGGCAGGCTTTCTTTACCAGCCCTAGTATTTGGAATGATAAAGAAAGATTAAACAGTAGGGACTCTTAAGGAATTCACATTCTATTGAAGGAAAAAGAGTGATACCAAAAAGCATGTATAATCATTTAAGCAAGGTGAGCCAAACAATTAAAGTTATTTCTAAATGGGATTAAGATACTCAAGTGGGAACACATGGTGAAGAATAATAAATTAAAGTACTGTGTTTTCTGTATTTTTTCTTTTTCACAAAAATAACCTTGGGATCAAGGTTTAAGTAAACTGTTTTTATTTCACTAACTAGAACACAGAAGTCTGTTTGTTAAATGACTTCTTCATATCAAGGTCTTGGGCCACATTTACGTAATACAAAACATAATGAGACCCACTTTACCTGCTCAGGAAACACTACAAGATAGGTAGGAAAATGAGATATGATAGGTAAAAAGGTAGCTAAAAACAAAAGGTGTGTTAGTGCATTTTAATTACTTCAACAAGGTATCTAAGGCATAAAGCCCATGGTTCTGGAGGTCCAAAGCTGAGGGGCCGCATCTGGTGATGGCCTTACTGCGGCAGAGTCCCAAAGGGGGCATCGCATGGCAAGAGACAGAGTTCTGTGTGAGTGTGTGTGTGTGTGTGTGTGTGTGTGTGCACGCACGCACGCGCATGTGTGTCCTTTTAGTCTCTCTCCCTCTTCTTATAAAGCTACCAGTATTCTGTCGTGGGACTCCACCTTCATGACCTCTAACCCTGATTATCTCCCAGAGGTGTCAGTTCTAAACACTGATTGAATTACATTTCCACCCTCCTAATGCCTCACACGGGGATTGAGTTTCTACACATTAGCCCTTGGCGGATGCACTCAAACCATACCCAAGCGGAAGCATCCTGTCCTTGGCCCCCAAGGTTCACGTCCTCATGATGTAGAACACAGTCGTTTCATCCCCGGTAGTGCTGGCCATCCCATCCCAGTAGTCAAGCTCATTCCAGCGCTGACTCAGAATTATAGAAGTCTCATCCCAGAGTCAGGCAAACCCTTTCTAGCTGTGAGCCTATATGGTCAAAAGAAGATACCTACATCCTCTATGCAGTGGCGCAACAGCCACGAGGTATACATGCCCATTCCAAAAGGGAGGCATGGACAATCAGAAAGGGAGATTGACCCAGAGCAAGACCAGAAACCAGCAGAGCCAGGCCAGAAACTAGCGGGCCACCCCACAGCTCCAGGTCTGGTGTTTATGCACATGTAGTGAGGGCAAGGTCCCCAAGACCTAAGCCTTCTCAACCCTATGGCTCTGCTGGTGCAGCCCACATGCCTGCGTGCTAAGTTGCTGGCTCTCCTGTTCAGGTGGGCCACGTTGCTGGTCATTCTTACCTTTCTGGGGAGCCCACTGTGACTTCTGCTCCCACTGCTCCACTGGGCATCCATTAAGCACTCCCGGCAGGACCTCTGACTCTCCAACGTATTTCTGCTTGGTCTCCCAGGCTTCCCTTTGAAATCTTGGTGGAAGCTCCCATGAACCAGTAATTTTTTCCATTCTGCACACCTGCAAAACCAGCACCACATAGGTGCCATAAAGATCTGGTACTGGCACAAGCTCTGCCTGGGCCGACTTGAACCAAGGTGACAGCCCCAGAGTGCTTTACCAGCTGAATGTAAGGAAACAGCCCCTGAGGTGGTGTGGGTGGCAAGCCAGTAGGGAGTACCCCCAGTGCAGTCCCTGAAACAGTTCCACCCCAGAAGATCTCTGGCCTGTGATGAGAAGTGCGGAGTTTAGAAACACTTGAGTAGGTTACTCGATTTTCTGAGATTTAGCTTACATTTTTTCTTTCGAACATCTCTTATGTACCTCCAATATTTATACATGGTGCACTAAATATAAAGACATAAGTAGTGAAAAAAGGTAATGAAAAAAGTCCATCAAATGGGTTACATAAAATTGCATGTACTGAAAGGGTTTGGATCAGTTGCACAGTAAATTATTGTTTGAGTCTATCCTGAGGTTCCTTGCGTATTTAAGTAGAATGCATTTGTTTGGTTTTGGACATGGTTTGCCCCTCAAGATTTCATGTGTTGCAAGTTTGGTCCCCGAAGTGGCAGTGTTGGGAGGTGATGTGGAACCTTTTTAAGAGGTAGGACTTTAGATCACTGAGGGACCCGATCTCCAGAGGGATTAAGGGGGCTCTCATGAGACCCTTGAGCTGCTGCAAGAGGCAAGACAAGTTGTCATAACAGCACGCCCAGAGTTGCCTCCTGGCCTCCTGTTTCGAGAGTGGTCTCTTCATCCCACACACACCCCTGCCATTGTGACACTGTCCTCAGTGAGCCCTCCCCAGCGGCAGAACCAGTGGGTGGAGCCATCAGACCTTGGACTCTGGACATCAGAACTGTGAACTAAGTAGTACAGCTCTTTATAGAAGTAGCCTGATGTAGGTATTTCCTTATAGTAACCCTAAGCAAACTAACACAGCACTTATTAAGAGGTACTTGAATTAATTCATTTGCTCTTTAATCAGCAAATATTTATCAAGCTCCTCTAATATGCCAGGCACTAGGAAGAAAGCAGTAAACAAAATTTTAAAAATTCCCTGCCCCAGTGAAACTTCTTTGGAAGGGGGCAGTCAGTGAGCCAACAAATACTGTATGTACCATGCCAGGTGTGGACAGTGCTACCAGGAGGACTGTAGCAGAGTAAGGGGGTTGGAACAGAAGACAGTGCTTAAGGTTAGCAAAGGGGGAGTCAAGTCAAGGAATATCTTTAGATATTTGAACAGAGACCTGAAGGAAGGGAGGCAGGTGCTTGTCATATTTAAGAAAATCCATGAAGGTGTGTATGGCCGAAGTAGTGTAAGCAAGGAGAGTAGTGGAAATGAGGTCAGAGAAGGAGGAAGAAGCCAGATTAAGTTGAACTTTATAAAGGGGTTGTGAAGACTTTGCCGTTTAGTATGAGTGAGATGAGAAGTCTTAGGAACTGGAGGACTCTGAGAAGCGGTGGACATGACCTGGCTTTCAAATATCCTGCCTGCTGTGTAAAGAATAAATCACAGGGACCATGGCCAGGATGGAAGCAGGGGCCACTTAGGAAGTTCTGATGAATTCTGGTGAAAAGCACTGGTAACTTGGACTTAGTAACACTGGAGGAGATAATGAGAAATGATGCCTTCTGGGTGTATTTCAACAAGATTTTTGGATGGATGGATGGATGGATGGATGGATGGATGGATGGATGGATGGAGTGAAAAAGGAGTCAAGGATATTTCCAAGATTTTTGTACTTAGCAGTTAGAAGGATGGACTGAACCACAGGAGAAGCAAGTTTGGTGGGAATATCAGAGTCCTGTTGAGGACATGGTAAGTTTGGGGAGCCTATGTAAACCTAAGGTCAAGAGCAGAGTAGAGTGGTGCTTACTAAGGGCTCCAGGGAAAGTGCAGAGTGACTATTAATCAACCTTCAAATTTCATTTCTAGAAAATGATTAAGTTCTGGAGATCTGCTGTATAGCACTGCACCATTCTTAACAATATTGGACTGTATGGATAAAAATTTACTACAAGAGTTATAAAAAAGAAATAATACCAGATCCCACCAGAACTTAGTAAATTAGAATCTACATTGTTAACACAATCCACAGGCGTTTGCCAGGCGCTTCTCCTCAAGTCTGAGGAACTCTAGCAGGAAAGTTAAGAGGGACAATTTAATGGCAGTAATATGCTTTATAATCAGTCTGTATGTAAGGTAGTGGCTGCATATTAAATATTGTGTTATGTTGAATGTTCTATGTATAGATTCATCACAGATGTAACCTTAAAATTGAAAGTAAATATAATTTCTGTCACTATTTTAATCTGTACTTTTCACAGCCCTATAATATCTCTATTTAGTGATTATTTTAAAAAAGCTCAAGGAGAGGAAAGAAATCAACATGAAGCTATAATTTAGGGAGTTCTAGGGATGCAGTGGCTCTCTAAAAGTGTAAAACAGGATGAGATTACCAAGAGTGTGAATGAATGTAGAGAAGCAAAATAGTCCTTGAACTCAGCATTTGAAGTATTCCAGTGTTTAGAAGACAGGAGGAGAAAAAGAGAAGTAGCACAGCAGGCTGAGACAAAGCAACTAGCCAGACCGGAGGAGAACCAGGAGCGAGATGCATGGGAGAGTGGGCAAAGAACAGGTGACCTACGTGAGTTCTGTTTGCCCGTTGAGGATCAGTCTATAAAAAAAGATGAGTGTCAAGTTACCACCTTTTTACATGGTCCCATGAGGGTTATAAATAATATATGTGTACCAGTTATTGTGACCAGTAAGGCAGCTCAGAGAAAGTGCCTGATAATTACAGAATGAGTAGCTCTTACCAAAATGCTTAGGGCTGGAAGTGTTTTAGATTTAGAATCGTTTCAGATTTAGGAATATTTCCATATGTGTATAGTGCAGTACCTCAGCAGTGGACTCAGTTCTAAACATGAAACTTATGTATACCAGCTACACATAAGTTGATACAGTATTTTTAGCATACCTGCGTTTGACCGTGACTCGTCACATGAAGTCAGTTTTCCCATCACGTGTGGGATTTTTCATGTGTGGCAGGCATCCTTTCAGTGCCCAGACAGTTTCAGATTGGAGCATTTCTAGACTTTTAGGTTAGGAATACGAAACCTGTAATAGCCATTTTTTTTTTACTAGATAGTGAAACAGCTAGAAAGCATAAGTACAGATTTTTTTCTTAGTACTGAAAATGCTGCCAGATTTAAAGGAAGGAAGAAATCAGTATGACTCAGTGTATTAAGGAAGTCTTTGTGGGAGAAAGAAGAAGTTGACAGATTTTAAAGTGGGTTTTGAAGTGAACAAGAAGAGGCATTCCACATGCTGAGAGGAGCAAAAATTTAGATGCCTTTGCAGTATCTTAGCATGAAATTATTTGAGTTCTGTTTTTTATTTTATTTTACTTTATTTTATTTTGAAACTAGCCTACATTTTTAATTTTAACATTTTTTTGCTCTTATAAAGCTAAGCCCAGTAGACACTGCAGGAGCAAGCCGTCAGCAGTACCAGCCTCACGTTCTGCAGCGCCCGCAGTTAATGATGGTGTTTCCATTGTGCCGTCAGGTGTTACCGCCCTTGAGGGACGTCACAAACCGACCTGAAGTTGGCTCGACTGTGAGGAACAAGCTGGTGCGCCTCATGACCCATGTTGACCTTGGCGTCAAGCAGATCGCTGCTGAGTTCCTTTTTGTGCTTTGCAAAGAGAGAGGTAGGTTAGACTCTCTCTGCCCTTGGCTTTTAGCTTCAGAGGGAACTTGAGAAACTTTCTGTTGCTAGTAGCCGTCTTACGCCATGCTTTCCAGAGCGTACTATTTCTTACCTTTTGTTAGGAGAAAAGCTCAGGAGATAATCAAAATTAATAACTTAAAAGTATTTTTATGTGCTTCTGGGTTCGCTAAGATGCACAGAGACAGATACATTGCCAGACGCACACTTAAACTTTGCCTTCTGTGTCCTTAACCCAGACGTCTTCATCTGGATATGCAGGACCTGGAGCCATTATGAGAAATCTGTCCAATAAATCAGGCACTGCTGTTTCGATAACCGGGCCCAGACCCGAGTCAGTTTCTTTAATTCCCCTTGGAATTCAATTCCTCTTAGAATGAAAGATTATCTTCTTCACCAGGTTTTTCAGTCACTAGTTCTCGAATATGACGTGTGTAGTACAGTATGCAGATATACAAAAAGACATAAGCTGTGCCACTTACCCTTGAAACAATGGTAGCATAGTGGTAGAGAGAAATTTAAAAATAACTAGAGTACAATTGGATAAATGCTACTGTATAAGTATATATAGTAATCGTTTGCTGGGATATAGTCAACAGTTAATAAATTTCCTAAAATTGTGTGGATTATTTGCTCTACAGAAACCAAGTTCAACAAAGACCTGTAAATTATTTAGATATTTTCACACCTATTGCTTCTCCTAGCGAATAGCTATCCTAGTATACAATCCCATCTGAGCAGAGATTTTATTCCACTTTGTTAAAGTACCCCAGTTTTGTGAGATACATAATTTCGAGATGAAAAGGCCCACATCTGCCCAAAGCTTAAGTCAGTTGTTTTCTTAAATTTTGTTTTTGATGAAATTGATCCAGCCACTCAAGTTCTTGTGAAGATGTTATATTCACAACATAATTTGATAATTATCATAATGGTGCTAAGCGTAGATGTTATAAAATGAAGAATGTGCCTGACACTCTGCGTGTAACTCATTTAGTTCTCACAACCCTCGAAAGTTAGTATTACTATCCCCGTTTCATCTGATCACTTCTTTCATGACTTTGAAAAAAGATTGATTTATTATCCTGGAATTAAGTGGTTATCGTAGTGCCTTGGTGTGATTGTAAATATTGGCTGAATTGAATCTATTTTTCTGAACTGTTTTTCTAAAAGTATGTATTGTATATACACAAGTCTCAACCACACATGTACATCTGTTCATTTTAAAAGGTTTGCCAAAATATATATAAATTTTAAATATTATCTGATACATATTATTATTATTATTCCTCTGAGTTGTAAAGTTACTGGTAGGTTATTTCTTCTTTTTAGTTCCCTGCATTATAATTTTTCTACAGTGAGCATACATTTCTTGTACACTTTTTTAAAAATTTAAAAGGTCCAAATAAAGTTTTTATCTTCTATGACTGTATTTAAATCTTATATATTTAAATGCATCTATATCTAACTATAATCACTTTACTGATGAGTAAGGGTCATGACAGGTATAGTATATGCATTTATAAGTAGATTTTGTTCATCTTTTTAAAAATTTGAAATGGTTAGCTTTGTGAGGTTTCATAGTCTTGGCTTTGAGCCAAAACCAGCCCATAGCAGTGGAGTAATACTTTTTTCATTTGAATTTTGA